TGTTGCTTCATATCTCTGAGCAGCCACGGTGTAAACCCTGCAGCAACCTGCTGTAGCAGCTGGGAGCCAACCCACTGCAATCTCTGCCAGTAGCCGATATCCCCTGTCCTGCCAAACCTGCCTTGTTCCAGGGGATCTGGAGAAGAAAGGACCCTCCTGAGCACGCATGCAGCCCTGGCCTCTTTTGCTGTGCCAGTGCATGGGAAGCCAGTGCCCTGAGCAGCTCCGTGTGTCCGGGGCAGGGTGCAGCAGCCGTGCATGTCCGGGGCAGGGTGCAGCAGCTCTGTGTGCCTGGGGCAGGATGCATCGTCTCCAGGCGTCCAGAGCAGGGACACCCTGGGGACTCCTCGGAGGGGCTGTGCCTGGCACTGGGTCCCTCTGCAGTCCCAGGGGCTGCAGGCGATGCCCCTCAGGCTGGTGTTCCCGCTGCTTGCTGCTCGTCAGGCAGGGAGATCAGGGGCTGTTCACATTTCTTTAGGGCAGAGGCTTCAGGCAGTGAGATTAAATCAACAGCTGATATGAAGTGATTTAATAAATGCAGGCATAGATGTGAAGATAAAGAGGAATTTTATTTCCCTCTCAGGCAGCACAGAAATAGGCTATTCCTTCAGCCCAAGCAACCTAATTGTGTTTTTCAAATGCAACTGGAATAATTTAAAATGTAATTTAAATACCTGGTGTGACTCATTCACCTTCTGCCCCAGCAGCCCACGCAGTTATTTGCCGTTCAGGCACTGCTGGGACAGGATTTCCTGGGCTCTGCAGAAACCTCAGGCTGAACCCAACAGCCCCCCTCCGAGATGAACCCCGAATAAAAACAACCTGTTCCAAACAGTCCTCTAACTAACGAGCGTTGCTACGCCAGCAGGATCTGCACTGGTGCCTGTCATTTCTCTGGGAGGGATGCAGTGGGTGGTAATGGGGCAGGTCTCTGGGGTGCTGGTGGGCGGTCAGGAGAGCAGCTCACCAGGTTTTTAACGTGTGGGCATGATGTTCCGTCCACACTGCTGCACCAGACACTGGCGGGTCAGCCTGTGAGCCCCTTTGCCATCGGCTTGTCCCTAGCCTTTGGTCCGACACAGAGCCCCAGCCAGCCCAGACTGGGGCGTCTCCAGTGCTGCTCTGGGCTCTGGAGCTCATTGCTGGGCATCACGGTTCTTGCCTGTGATTCACTGTGTCAAGATAAAGTTTCATTTTCTTTACCAACAACAGCAGCTGAAAGGAGAAAAAAAAAAAAAGATTATTTCTATTTGGACAAGCTGGAGCTAACGGCAGATATATGTGTGTCTGAAAGCACGGACAGGATGCATGACTGTTGCGTGGTTTGGTGTCAGGAGACAAAATGCTCCCAGCTCGACAGGTCTGACAGGGGCTGGAGCTTTGCCCACCAGTGCCCTGGGCTCTTTCTCCGGGGTGACCATCAGTGCACACCCCAAGCCTGGCCAGAACTCTCCTGCAGAGACTGATAAAAATGTGTCAGCTTGGCCAGGGTCTGCTGCGCTTTCCCCCCACAGCTCCATAGGAACACGCACGGAATTCAAGTCTCCTTTCACCTTGGTTTCAGCTGGTGTATGGAGTAGCAGTGGCGGAGGTGGGGCTGGGCAGGGAGCCTTGGTCACATCCCCCGACATGGTTTGTAGAGGAATTGAAAACCTATATAAACTCTGCTCTCCGCGGCTGTGTCTCCAGTGGGAATCAGTGCAGCTTGGTTGTCCAAAGTGGTGATTTCTTCTGGTATGGAAAGTTCATCAGCCATCCCCTGGGAGAGGGGGGCTTGCCGTTAGTGTGGAAGGCTGAAGGAGCCTGGGCATCCAACAAGCTTGAGCAAGGCCTTAGGCAAGACCAAGTCAATGGTGCTCTTCCAGTGGCAGTGTCGAGAGAACACTTTGGTTGCTACCAGACGGCAGCAGGACACGTTCACAGCCGTGATGACAAACAGGATGTGGGCGCCCGGCGGGCTCTGCGGGTGTTGGGATTGGTGATGCCCGGTGCTGCCGGGGAGGAGGAGCTCATGGCAAGGAGCTCAGAGACAATATGAACAAGAAAGCTCTTTTAAAATGGCATTTCTCCTTGCAGAGAGCTATCTGGAACATCCCTGGGGGTCAGGGCAGAAGGAGGGTGGGTGTGTGGGCACGGTGATGCTGCGGTTCATGGCCCCAGCTCCAAGAGACACGTGTGAAGGAGCTCTGGACCTTCAGCAGAGGAGATGCTCTCGCTGCCCATGGGGCTGTTGAAGGGTTTCTTGATTTCCCAGCAGCCCAGGGGTTACCTTTTGCCCACTTATCCCCTGCAGATAAAGGGGGTAACTTGAGTTTACTGCAGAAGGAAGTGTGGCTGCTCTGCACTTTTTGAACTTAAAGCTTTAATTAATTTTCTGAATGCTACTGAGCCTGAACTTGCACAGGTTCTTAACTGCTTAACCGGGTCTAGCCCAGTGCCCAGATCTAGGCAGTCCCTGCCTGACCCCAAGATCCTGCATCTGCTCTGGACACGGCAGTCATGGCACAGTCGCAGCACAGTTGCAGTGATGCTTCCCAAGAGCCTCAACGTATCTCATCTGCTGCTCCCCTGACCTACCCACCTTGCCCACGCTGGCCCATGGCTCTCCAGCCAGCCTTGCCCTTTTCTCATGACCTTTGCAGTCTCTCAGGTTTTTTTTTTTTTGCTGACCTCTCTTGGCCTGTTTTTTCCCTCACAAAACCATGAAACAGGTTGTGGCTTCTGCTGGAAACATTTAAAATCCAGTGTAAAATCATTCTGCCTCCAAGGCTGTGCTATCCTGCAAAACCTCTCCCCTTGCAGAGCAAAGGTTCAGCCCTGAAGCTGCTGAGAGACTGGAGGAGCTCCTGCATTTCTCTGAGCCATGTTTCTGCAGGTCCTGGGTTTTGCTCTGTTCAGCCGTGCTTGGAGCAGGAGGCTGTCCCCGCAGCGACACTTCTCTGCACGCTTTCCAGGGATGGCCGCGTGTCTGCCTTCACCTGTGCAGTTCTGCTCTGCCGCTTTCTGCTTTCACACCCCTCGGTGCCTTTCTCGTGCAGCTGCTTTACACGTTTTCGTGTGCAGCAGCCGGTTGCACCCAGCTTTCGTAGCATGGAAAAGATGATCATGAAACCTAGTTATTGTGGGTGACCGAGCCGGTCCTGTTGCTGCTGCAAGGCAAAGGGAAGCACAGCTCATACATGCACAAAGCCAAAGATTTATTGCTGTGCTCCCAGCTGCGTGTTACTGCTGCCTGCAGAAAACCATGGTTGTGCCATGCACAGATGAGCACAAGTGCAGCTGCATGTCTGAGAAATGTCCCTGCAGGCGGGTGAGGGCAGGAGCTTCTCCATTGCAGATGGAAATGCCCGGGAGAGCAGGGCTGTTCAGGGGTGCTCTGCCTGAGGAAAGGTCTGCAGCCTCAGCTGCTTCCATCAGGTTTGCTGCTCCTCCCATCAGGTTTGCTGCATCCCACCACACATCATCCTGCTCCCACTGCAGGAGCAACCCACAGCCACTTGTTCCTTTTTCCAAGCCCAGCTTTGAACTCTGCCTGCTTCAACATCCCACCAGGGATGCTGCAGCATCCGAGCAGCTTCCAGACTCTTGGTCACCGTGATGACACAGGGACGGGTGACAGGCGGCCCATTAGCTCCTGGGGACAATCTGGGGAGAGCAACCTGCGTGGACAAATGTCTCCAAACAGGCAGGAGCTGCAATCCCCCCGCCAGTGCTCCCTTCGGGCTCCTCGCACAGTGCTGGCCTGAAGGAAGCAGCTTGTGCCCATGGTTTGTAACCAGTGTGCCCTTGCTGCATCACTCTTGCCTGTATCCCTGTTTTTCAGGGGAAACATGTAGCTCCTCCTGCAGCCCTGGGCAGGATCAGGGCGGCAGTGGCAGAAGCATCCTGGCAGGAGGAGCCTATAGGGCTCTGCAAACCCCTGCAAACCCCTTGTAAACATGCCGCAAACACGCTGCAAACGCCCTGCCACCTCGGCCTCTTCCTGTTTCTGGAATGAATGGGAATTGCTGCGGCTCTAATGATTTACCTCACCGACTTTCAAATCCCTGCTGTGCCCTGGTGCCTCTGAAATCCCAGGTGCTATTTCTGAGATTTTAGCAAAGGATGGCTCGAATGGAAACTTCCTGCTCAAAAGGTCACACGGAGAATGGTTTAGAATAGATTCACGCACATCGGGCTTCGACCACAAGGTGCTCATTTGGGAAAAGGTGAATTATGGAGAACTGGTTGTGTAGCCAACAGATGGCACCAGGAAATACCTCAAATTGTTCCAATTGCTTTTTGCAATTAAGAAGTCAGGCAGGCAGGTGCCTGGAGAGATGGGCTCAGGACCTGTCCCCATCCCTGTCCCCATCCTGGGGAAGCTGACACAGCTCCCAGGTCAGCAGGGCTGTCATGCCCGGTGCCATCTTTTCAGCTTTGGGTTATTTCACATTTGAAGCCTGGCTGGGAGCTGTCCCCACGCTTGAGCCCCGATGGCACTTCAAATTTGAAATAATCTGAAGCTGAAAACATGGCAGCAGGCATGACACACAGGGAGCCTGGCTGCGCTGAGCAGGGTGCGGTGCCC